CAAGCAGAAAGAACCAGGCGGCGGTCGTAAGGATTAGTTCGTAGTTTGTGAATGATCTCAGCAAGCTGGTCTACACCCTGACCTGTGTAATCCGTCTTTGCATCAATATACTCGGCACCAAAATGTCGCCATTGGAAGCCATACACGGGACCGAGATCGCCGATCTCACGATGATTGAGGCCGAGGTTGTCAAGAAATTCGCGAGATCCATTGCCGTCCCATATTTTGATTCCAGCTTCACTGAGGCTGTTAGAAGAAGTGTTGCCTTCGATGAACCACAAGAGCTCGGCAATGACTGCTCGGGTGAAGACACGCTTTGTAGTAAGGAGAGGAAGAATGGGGATTCCGTTCTTATTCAGCGAGAATTTTAGGGGCCGAGGAGCGAAGATAGAGTATGTACCAGTGCCTGTGCTATATGGATGGTTAGAGTGCTGCCTAGCAATAGATATTGCGTTCTCTTACCGGTCCGGTCGACGCTCGCCGCTTTCAAGGATTTCTCGGACAAGATCAAGATATTGATTCTCTTCGTGGTTGATCGACTTTGAGCCGTTCGAAGGCTTTGAATCCTCGGTATTCTGTGTCATGGTCATACTGAGAGTGAGTATTGTGGTTGCTGCTTGGGAATGATTGTGTCCAGGTGTATTGAAATCCTAGGCAATCAGATTCCCGAGACCAGATGAAATCAATTAAACTTGCTGTCGCGTCATGTCGCGTAAACGCGTTCTCCCCACTGCCCCACCATCTCCCGGGAGTTGGTGGAGAATATTTTAACCGAACCGAATATCAGTATGCGAAGGTGAGTGAGTACGTGCGTTGTCCAGCTCACGAGAGATGCTTTCTCAGGTACAGGGTCATACGTGGCAAAGCAATATACTAGAAAATATACTGAGCACATAAATTAGCTTAGGATTAATCTGAACTTCCAATGCAATGATCAAGAGCAAGGAATAGCCCAAATTGTAGCAGGGAAGTTGGAGAATACTGGTCGTTTCTTGACCGAGCGACTTGGTGCTGTTTTCGACGCCGGTTGATATGAAAATAGTGCCTGAGATGGTTGTTTGGCAGACCGTGAGGTTCTTGTTGAGGAAGCTTTCCACCTTTGCAGAATTTTACCCTTGACTACCCAGGTAGGTTATATCTCCTGGTCTTTGGTTGATGGACCGGTGTCGGAGTGGGTAATCTTATCAATCAGTGATCAGCTTGCAGGACGCTAGTCAGAAAACTTCCCAAAGGGGTCAAGGTTCAATCCATGTGTCCATATTACAGGGTAATTCCAATTGATCACCGAGATCAACTTTGCAAATGGATCCGTTTGACCCAGAGCACTAACTAATCAGACAGTATTGAGGAGTCCCCTTCGTCCCCTGCTGAACCACAATTATACGAGACAAACGTAAGAGAACCCTTGAAACATTCAGCTCCAAGGTGTGCACGTTCGATCTGATAAAGGAATCGATATCGTGATTGGTTGGAATTTTATAAAAGCGGGCGATCTGATGTCACATGCAGAAATGTCAAGATTTTCTCTTTGGGGCCTGGTGCCCGAAAACGACTCTCACAGCAAGCATCTCTGCGTGACGGTTCACCTTGCAAATTCGCAGCACAGGGCAGCGATTATATGTCACAGGCATTTCCCACAAAGCCGCATTGCAATTGACAGATCGGCTTGCCCTGTGGCTGCGAGGACATCATATTCTTCCAATCCTCGTTTACCGAATTTCGGCGGTTGTTCCACTGACTGCGACTGCGCTTCAGCGACGTATAGCACAGCTATATCCGATGCATCCCGCACCCTAAACTTCTCAAATTTGTCTGCTTGTCAACCACCTAGGTAGCTTCTGGCTGCTGCTCGGCGATACATCGAATTCAGAGGCACCAAGCGCCCCGAAACTGCAGCCTTAGTCTCTATTTACCTTGCCTACCTCTACTAGGTACCTTACTGGACCCATCCTCCGATCGCGTATATTATCACTGGAGTGCCCCTCCTTCAAAGCTTTTTGGCAATACCTACTAGGTGGTAGCCACGACACCGCTTTCCAACACTCCCTGTCGACGCTCAATAGGGTGCTCAATACTATACGTCGTTCCTCTTCGCCCGTAAATTCTTCTGTCGAGACCGCGTTTGATTAGCGCCACCGCTTCGATGGAGCCTAGTCCTGTAGCTGTGGAGGTTGCTAGCCATGCGCCCAACTTCTCCCTCAAGGAAAAGACGGCGCTTATGGAGGCATTCGAAGACGTACTATGCGGATCGGTATGTGGCTTCACTTGAGCCAGTTCTTCGAATACTGACTTTCATCAGTTTGCTGGCGCTGTGGGCAAATACATCGAGTATCCGTTCGATACGGTCAAAGTGCGGTTACAAAGTCAGCCCGACCATCTTCCATTGAGATATTCTGGTCCATTGGATTGCTTCCGGCAGTCTATCAAAAGTGATGGAGTTTTGGGGCTGTATCGTGGCATTACAGCTCCTTTGGTGGGTGCTGCAGCAGAAACAAGCAGTCTATTTCTATTCGAGAGTCTTGGTCGTGAATTACTGTTCACGAGCAGCCTAGTTTCCCGAGAACAAGGACTCTCACTGCCATATCTCTGGCTGACAGGTGCATTTTCTGGAGCTTTCACTTCGTTTGTCCTTACTCCAATTGAGCTTGTCAAGTGTAGGATTCAAGCTCCCATGTCGGCTGATGGATCTGCCGGCCCTCCTCTCCGCCCTATACCTGTCATCAAGCAAGTTTTCCGCCATGAAGGCCTTCTGGGCTTTTGGCATGGTCAGCTCGGGACACTGATTCGAGAGGCTGGTGGCGGTTCTGCCTGGTTTGGTGCCAAGGAGACAGTAACAAGCATGTTCTACCAGCTCAAGACGAAGACCGCGAAGTCAGCAACAGAAAAGCAGATAATTCTTGATACACCCTTACCGTTCTGGCAGCAAGCGATTGCTGGCGCATCAGCGGGTGTGTCGTACAACTTCCTCTTCTTTCCTGCAGATACTATCAAATCACGCATGCAAACCTCGACTGTCAGTGATCTACGCCAACGACGAACATTCTGGAAAGAAGGAGCGATGCTTTGGAAACAACATGGGATACGAGGCATGTATCGTGGTTGCGGTATTACATGCCTCCGATCTGCACCAAGCTCTGCCTTCATATTCATGGTTTATGATGGGATGAAGCGACACTTTCCTTTTTGATGATAATAAAAGAAAACTGGTTGAGGTGATGTGTGTCATAGATCGAGTTTCATTACTACTTGGAAACGAAATTTTATCTACGGATAGCAGCGACTGGTCAAAGCATCTATGGAGTTCAAGTTTTGGTTTGATATCATGTCGATGAGTGAATTAGAGCATCAATAGAGGGTGTGTATCTGTTCATCTTGGGGTCGAAGGAAGATAGCAAGGACGATGCTTTTGATTTCAGGGAATAGAGCGAGTTTGGCCTTGAAACAACACAAACGCAACAATATATAACAGTCCATATTTATAGACCAATACTCATGACTTATGCATAACTACATTCATCATAAGCTGTGCTTACTCGTCCTTTGCTTCCTTGGTCTTCAAGTCCCAGTTGTTCAAATGACCGATAGTAGTGCACAGATAGGTCGCAAAGCTGAGCCAGCCGAGGTAGGGAACTTGACTCCACGCAGCAACGGAATCAATGGAACTGTAGAGGTAAGTGAGGTAGCCGTTGACGCCGAGCAGGGTCACAATGTCAACCGACGCTTCAATTGGTCGATACAAGCCGAAGAAGAGGGGGGTCCAAATAAGGTTGAGGCCGAGTTGAATTGAGTAGAGCGTCATTGCACGTCGAGTGTTCACGATAGTCTCAGGGCTTGAGAAGGGAGAAAGACCAATGTCAGCAACTCGGTAGGCGGCATAGCCCATGAGACTGAGAAGGGTTAGTTATGAACATCAATCATTTAGCCTGGCAATCCTGACCCGTAGAGGACGGTCCAGACAGGGCCAAACAGCCATGGCGGAGGTTGAACCGAAGGTTTCTTGAGAGCAAGATAGGTCTTCTGAGTCTCTAAAACCAGACAATGAATCAGTCAATAGTGTTCGATTGATATGGATGTGAAGGTCAACCCACGAGTGGCACTGAAGCCAACGGCTGTCCCAAGGCCAATGGGCAGCAAGACTGATAGTGCGGGCTTCAGGAAGACCGCGTCGGGCAGTGTGAGCGCCGGAATATATGTAGTCATGATGAGCACTTTACTGTAGACGATCTTATTGGGAATAGATGACAGATGAGCAGAAAACATTAAATTTAAAGAATCACAGTTGCATGATAAAGTCAAACAACTGAAGGGCAATGACGTAATCCATTTTTCGGAGGGACATATCCAATGCCGAGGCCCGGAGTTGTCAGATCATTAATTAGGTGTAGAGTGGGCTGACTGATTCAAAACTCAGATGCAGAACATATAATGGCTCTGTCACGATCGAATTAAATGCCATGAATCTACGGAGTGTACAGAGTAGAACTGTCAATGCTTCTCGGTAGCGAACTGGCTACTCAAACGAGACAAGGGGAAATTTCTTGCAACTCGTCTCTAAGCAACGAATGGTAGCTACACTCTCCACCGCAAATTGTTACCTAGGTATCCAATGGATCCAATTATCAAAGTACTGGTAACCAGCTGGGCCAATGATCAGCCCCAAATCTCAGGGGCTTGGGTCTTGATTTACGCGTGAGAATGGTGCATTGTGGCTGACTTAACCGCGTCTTAGTGCACTGACCACATGTTTAATTGATCGTGGCCCGCAGGTCGCGTTTCTACGCGACTTCAACACGTCTTATGCCATATCGTGGCGCGAAGCGCCCTGAGTACCCAAATGGGGCTCCATTCTTAATATTCGACGCAGGACAATCTGCAGCTGCTTTCGGCAAGCACTCCTCTTGCAACTTCCAGACCTTCACAACCCTATACCACTGATTATTGGAAAGTGCTCGGCTTACAACTCTGCATATCTACACAAGTTGGAAGGAACCATTCTAGTCATGGCTCGAGCAACACTAGGAAAGAGAGCCCGCGGCATTGATGAAACTGGTGAGTCTCCGCCGGCGGAAGGAAACAAGAGCCCTTCTTTGCTAATATTATAATTCAAGATATGCCCTGCCTTGTGGCTACTCCCACGAAACGAAGTCGCCGTCTTGCAAGGACTGTTTCATACAACGACGAGAACCAAGATCCTGCATACTCTCCCTTCGACGATGATGAAGAAAACGACATATTGGCTGAGCTCCCTGCTCGGAACCGAAAGTCTCCCTCACAAGCATCCACAAAGCAGAATCCCGTTACACCCTCGACGCCCCGACATCGAGATGCACTCTCGGTGCCTCCTACGACGCCTCGGCATGCTGTCATGTCGGCAGGCAAACTCTTCAAGCGACTCACACCACAAACACCACTCTCACCAAGCACCATACAAACCATTTACCATTCAGCACGACAATTGTTTGCCCGTGGAGCTGAGCCTGGCCAACTTATCGGCCGAGATGCAGAACGAAATCAGGTAATGGAATTCCTCGGACGAAGCTCTTCGCCTGCCCCCAACGGTTGCCTATATGTGAGCGGTCCACCAGGCACGGGCAAAAGTGCCATGATTACCGAGATAAGTCGACAGTTTGCCAACCACAAAGGCGTCATGTCTGCATATGTCAATTGCATGAGTGTCAAATCTTCTAAAGATCTCTACACCACACTTCTCGGCGCGCTTGGCCAAGGTTTCGACTCTTCCGAGGCAGATGCGATTTCCAGCTTGCAGGCTATGTTCGTGCCCAAGACACAGTCGGCTACCGTCTATCTTGTGACCCTAGATGAGATCGACCATATTTTAACGATGGGTCTGGAAAGTCTATATCGCGTGTTTGAGTGGTCGCTACAAAAGAACTCATGCCTGATTCTTGTCGGTATTGCCAACGCCCTGGACTTGACCGATCGTTTCCTTCCTCGACTCAAGGCCAAGAACCTGAAGCCTGATCTATTGCCATTCCTGCCCTATACCGCAGCCCAGGTCAAGAATATCATCACTATGAGACTCAGGTCCCTGATGCCGGCTGATGGAAAGGAGGGTCACGTGCCATTCATTCACCCTGCTGCTATTGAACTCTGCTCCCGCAAGGTTTCGAGTCAGACTGGGGACCTTCGCAAAGCCTTCGAGATTTGTCGCCGTGCACTTGACTTGATCGAGACCGAAACGCGTCAGAAGTACGAGGAAGAAGCGAGGGAAGAACTGCTACAGATGACCCCTTCGAAACGACCTCTTGGGGAAAACATCAACGGCGCATCCGGTGGCTCAAAAACCGTGTTTCAGCTAATGGCGAACTCTTTGAAGGCTCTCACAGCAGAAACTGCGCCCCGGGCATCGATCGGACATCTGAATAAAATTACAGCAGCAGCTTTCAGCAACGGAACGACCCAACGACTCAAGGCACTTAACCTCCAGCAGAAGGCAGCACTCTGTGCCTTGATAGCTTATGAGAAACGAACTCGAGCTGCCGCTAAGATGGCCAACAACGGCTCCACACCTTCCAAAAAGAAGTTTTTGGCACCAACTATCAAGACTTTATTCGATGCTTACTGTCAGCTCTGTACCCGCGATTCGGTTCTGCACCCTTTATCGAGTTCTGAATTCCGCGAGGTTGCCGGCAGTCTCGAAACATTGGGGTTAGTCAACGCATCCGATGGAAAGAACGGAAGCCTTGCGGCACCACAAACACCCAGCAAACGAGGTCGCAAGACTCTTGCTGCAAGTGGAGATGAGCGGAGAATCACGAGCTGCGTTGCAGAAAAAGAGATCGAATCTGTAGCCGACGGCGCTGGCGCAGGCATCCTAAAAAGTATTTTGAGTGGAGAAGCATTGGATTAAACTGCCTAAAGCATTCAACGGACAGGTATAATGGCATAGCACTGAATGGCGTTTTGGCTTGAGTTATTAACGATGGGTTCTCTTCATCATTGTCTTGTATCACACTGGGCCCAGAGGTAACGTGGGTCTGGACGGGCTTCCAGAACTCTTTGGATGGATAATGATACCATGTACCTATGTAATTGTAGTTTGAGATGTGTTTGAGTCGCAGCATAGGATTGATCGGCGTGGACGACCGGACTGGAAAGTCAACAAGGCATGATAACATAGAACAAAAGAATATATTAGAAACCACCTCATTGCAATGGTTGAGTGTCATGACTCCTTGTCGAATAAACCTCCGCTAGCTCATAGCTGTCTACACTCACGGAAATCTCATAGAGTGTAGCAGAGTCGATAACAGTCGAGAACCCTGTCTGCCTACCCAGCCAGATGCATTTACCCTTGCAATATCTTGAAGACATAATAAGCAAACATTGCAACCTTTGATTCGTTGGCCTCACTCCACGACAAGGTCCCACTAAGGAACGTGTCTGTCGCATCATGGCCAGTGATGCGGCTGCACCGGATCCATCCGCGCCGCATGTTAGACTAATCCTATGGATGTGGTTGGCAAGGAACATGCGTAAGGTAGTTTCGCATCCCCCCGTTCTGTACGATGGCATTAAAACTGACAACCGGGAAACAGTCAGATACTCGAAGATAGTAAAAGCACAGGGCAACCGTAGTCCAACTGTAACTATGGCAGCCTCGACAACAAAATGCACTCAGCTGGCCGTTTCCGCTAGTCGCCAGACCTGTCACTTTTAACCATCCATGACCCAGGCATTTGGCAGGATGTGTGAGCCAAGCTCGTCGAGACTTTAACCAAGCTTTTCTTGGCGGTGCGATGTTCTACAGAGCCTTGGCATCTGCAGGCTGACAATCTGGGTAGGGCAGATTCGAGATGCCGTACATGACTGTATTAATATGAGAGATCAAGTCACATGCCCAGCTGACAGAAATTTCATTTTCAATTGGGGATGTGCTTTGCATTGAAGATTTCATACCTTAGCCATGCCCGCTTCGTATATATTCGCCACGCCTGAAAATGGTTATACTCTTACCCCAACAAGCTCCAGCCGTATCTCCATCTTGCTCAACACCGTTCGGGAGGCGCTAGGGACCACTACGGGGACCTCTACAGCCGCTAGGAAGGTACCTTTCCAATTGGCTCTTTCATCCCCTCCCGTCCATCCCGCGATTGTATGTAAACCTTCTATCATTTTGGCTTGCAGGTGCTAAGCTAGGTAGGTAGGTACCTAGCTAAGGCAGTGCTAGTTGGTAGTGCCCAGTAGGTAGGTACTGAGTATCGTCCGTCGCTTCGACTTGCTGCCGCTACCGCCGCCATCCATCTCCGCCTCCACGACCCAATACTCGTCATTCGCTCGCTCAGGTCACATTTTCTGCCTCAGCTCATCTATAGTGTATAGTATTTGTATTTCTGATTGGGTTTATTGTTATTCATATTCTCGGCCGATTTCTTGGATGTCGATCTCGCACCCTCTTGTACCCCTCCTGCAGGCTTAGAACACGCAGCCGCAACCGCCGCCGACGCGCCGACAGATTGAAACGCCTCTGCTTCAACGTTCGTACCCGCCGCATACATATAATTCAACGGCTTCCCGATACGACTTTAAAATCAATCCAGAGCAAGAGGCTGCGAGCTCTCGCTCCAAGGATTGCGACGTCGGTTTTCTGAGCTCGACGTCGCTCTCGACCTCGGATCCTGGTCCTTCTTATGCCTTGGGCACCACGTCTGGGAATGGGCCGCCGGTCAAAATCTTCTCCCTCGCTCTCCAATCCCACAGGAACTCCTGGCCCTGCGAACTCTAACGTTCCAAACACGCCCACGAACCTCGAGATATCTTCTCCCGCCGAGTCTGCTGGCTCGGCGACCTCTGCCGCCCCGCGGGCTACCTCCCCCACCGCATCTACCACCTCTTCTACGCGCCCAAGATTTCTTTCGCGACTGAGCCTCCCTCTCTCGCTCCCTTTGCGCAATCGGAATCGCAATATCACTGACTTTCATATTCGTGCTGAGGAACCACACCGTCGATACAGTGCTGGCGACAATGTCCGTGGTGCTGTCGTCATAGTCGTCGTAAAACCTGTTCGCATTACTCATTTGACCGTTTCGCTACACGGATATGTCCGTGTCCTGAAGGACCCGACTTCGGTTGCAAAAGCGCAAGGAAGTATCGTACTACCGCAGAATGGGGACTCGGCGCGCCCACGATATCACGGCAATGGTCTTGCAAGCCTTTTCCAAGACGAGCAGGTATTAAGCGGCGAGGGGAGGCTGGAACCTGGCAGATACGAGTTTGGTTTCGACCTGCTGTTTCCTGACAAAGGGCTTCCAAGCAGTATTGACGTAGGTTTGCTGCTATCCTCAATCATCCCCTTATCACTAATTTACCATGTAGTTCGAGCGAGGGACCGTTTCATATATGGTAACTGCCACGCTGACTAGGCCAACATCGATTACCCCAACATCATCATGCGAGCGAAAAGTTATGTTAGTAGAGAATGTGGATGTTGGACTGCTGCCCATCCCTCGGCCGCGCACTATCTTCTTAGAGCCGATATCGAAACGAAATCGTAGGAGAAAGTCCATGGTGATGGACAAGTCAACTGCAGCTCCTTCTGAGATCAACGAGTTCAATTCGGAGCAAGATCCTTTAGAAACACCAACGGAAGACCTTCGTGAACAGGTGACGAATCCGAGAAGCCCAATACAAAGCGATATGCGAAGCGAAATCAGCGGCGAAAGTGGCGTCAGCAACAGCACAAGCTTGAGCAGGCCGGAAGCCGCGCTGTCTCAGGTCGGGACACTCACATCGGCCAAGCAGCAAGCAGTTGATAAAAAGACGATTACCGCGACAGTCGAGCTGCTGAAGGGCGGTTGCTTGCCGGGTGATGCTGTCTCCGTGCGGGTCACGGTTCAACATACTAAACGGGTGAAGAGCATGACTGGTGTGATTGTAACACTCCTCAGACAAGGCAAAATCGACAGCAACCCACCGAGTGCTCTGTTTGACGAGAGTTTAAGTCGTGACGATGTGGCTCGCATTGATAAGGAGGATGTGTTTCCGCGATCTCGGACCGGTTTGGGTGGTCTTTCGTTGACATCTTCAAGTTCTACAAGCATATTCCGTAAGGATCTTGACCAGAACATAGCACCCCTAATCATTGACCCTAACACCATGCAAACGTCGGTCACTGTGACCGTTAAGCTACCTGACGACTCCTTTCCGACTATCAAAGGTGTACCTGGAGAGATGATCAGCTTCAAGTATGTGGTTGAGGTAGTTGTTGACCTCGGCGGAAGACTGTCAAATCAAATGCAAACTGGCCCTGCCAGATTCGGATCTTATGGCCATGGAAGTGCAGACAATCATACTTATGGGCCAAGAAGAGGTGCTAATATTGCAGACACTTCTCAGATGCGCCATGAAAAGGGCGTTATCGCGGTGTCGATGGAAACAGTCGTTGGCACAACTGATTCATCTCGCGGGAAGAAAAAGTCGAGAGCTTCGCCCACTTCGCGAAGCGTACAGATTCTTGAAAGCGATGAAGAAGAGGTGATAGGCCAAGAACCAAATTATGCTGACGATCCTCCCCTTGAGCCATACTCGAACAGCACGCCACTCTCCCCTGCAGGTTATTTTCCATCACAGGCCAATGGGAGCCGACTTCCAACGATCCCTTCTCATCCTCCACAGCCATATTCACAAGTGGTCCCGGTGCAACACCCGTCGCTCCGGCCTCGAGACGTTGGGTCAAGTTCAAGCGGCCCTGTTCCCTCTCCTGCCGCGCCTTCATACATCCCACCTCCTGAAATACTTAACCAGAACAACCTTTCCGAGAAGGAGAGGATTAGGCAAGCGGAAACACGGCTTCTACCAAGTCAGCCACCAGAAGCGGGCCCGTCAACAAGTCACGATGACGAAGATATATACGATGCAGAGGATACGCCCCGAGTCCCTGATCTCGGTGGTGGCTTTGTTCCAAATACTCCCAACGCTCCAAGTGCCCCCGATGCGGGACCTTCGGCCCCTTTGGAAGACGATGTTGACTTACCAACAGTGCTTCTCCCAGGGGTTGTTGAAGACAAACAAGAACTCGAACGTCAACGGCTCTTGAATGAAGCCAGTGCACCGCCAGACGTTCCCGAGGATATGCAACGAAGAGCAGACGAAGGCCCATCGAGGGAGGTGGAAGCTGATGCGGAAGCAAGCGCACCAACTGCCCCAGTGGTGGATGATTATGATGATTTTCCAGGTTACGGAACTAGTGCGGGACCTTCTGGGACTTCGAGGCACGTCGATGGAGAGCAGCTGCCAGCCTACCAAAGATAAGCTGGTGTACGTGGAGGCGTGTGTATTGCATAGGCGTATGAGTGTCTGGGATATGATGGGTATACTATATAATTCGCTGGCGCATAAGTGGGAACCCTTAGCGTTTGGATATATGATGAAAGTCAAATCATGACAAAGTTGTTGCTACCTGTACCAACAAATAACAATAATTACTATTGAGAATCCGCTTTCATTGTACGATGCTATTGCCAATTGAAAGCATGGAAGTATCTTCAAAGCAGCGTTCATGATACATCGAACAAGTCTGGTCACATATTCATCTTATTATATCAAGAAGCTGGGTGGTACCTAAGCAATGCCACCGTAAGTTTTTTGTTTCTATCTATTTAATGCTGTAACACAACATGATGGCCCCTCTCCCAGTTATCCAAACTTTCCTTGATATTGACCCAATAGCGCAGACGCACAGCCTCATGTTTCGCAGCCTCGATATCATCATGCTGAAACGCACGCTCCAGCACCTGTTCGCTCTCCACAATCCGTGCATCATTCGCAGCACGAGGTTCGTCTAGATCCTCTTCGTGCTCGGCATCCTCAATCTCCTCGCGTGCCTCAAGCACAAGTATTAATAGTTCTGGCTCTTCTACCTTGAGGGTCTCGTCGTTGGCGACGTCGACGCCTCGAAGGGAGAGTAGATATTGTGCTCGAAGAAGAGGGTTAGAAAGCGTCTTATAAGCCTCATTTATGCGTGCTGACATGGCCTCGGCACGAGCTTTGTCCTGAGTAGGATGCATATCCGGATGAGCCCGAGCTTGCAGACGGAGAAACTCACGGCGCAGAGCACGAGTATCGATAGGAAAGTGTCCTGCCGGAGGAGGACCATCGGGAAGCGTCTCGGGGAACAGGTCATAGTGTGTCGAGGGTGGTGCGCTGGACGAGGCCGGTTCTTGCTCAGGCTGCGCGGCACTAGATACGGCGCGGGCATGAGCTCTATTCACAGCTGGGCCCCGAACCGCCACTGCGAGAGCTACATGATGTCGTGTGGGCGTCGCTGTGACAGATGGTCGATGCGATGGCACAAGAGTCGAAGCTCGGCGAGCTCGGAGTTGACACCGGACACAAAGCCGAGAAACGTCGCGCACAGCGGGAGAAGAAACAGAGAGTCGCATACTTTAGGGCATTGAAGAACGAGCGTATAGAGAAAGAAGTTGTGTAGGAATTCACTGAAGTGAATATCCGAGACAGGAAATTTTACTGATACAAATGAAGATGGTCGTTCCTGGCAAGTATAGCTTTGGAAGGCGCTTTTCGGATGGATGTCGTAATAAATCGTTAGCGCAAAATTGACCTCATCGGTTGTGGCGCGCATGCGGCTAGATTTGTGGCGCTAGGTTGTCATGATGGCCCTCAGGCGGCTCTCGTCACTGAAACCAATGTGTTGGGTGCCCTATCATAAGTCCCTGTACACCCAATACGCCGTTCCTTACCCATTTTTTCGGCCAAGGTCGCCGGTCATGATCGGGATCCAGTCCGACCCAATGGCGGATAACGTAATTGTACACAGCCTGGTAATGCGCGCCATGATGAGACTGAAGAATGAATATCTCCATGTAAATTGAATCCTTGCTCATGAAAGCGCCCTTGCGATACGAAGCCGACTCATTTATTTCTCTTGGGCATTTAGTCACATTCTCGCTTCAATTACATCGTCATAACTTCTACTCCGTACCTCCCACAAATCACCCCCAAGGAAACCCCCAATTCTGAGAACCCAATTGGAGGCGGGACAGTATCTGCCGAGTCTGTAGATCAGTCAAACTGGCCTCAACGTTTTAATAGACCGTCTCGCGCCACATCTTTCCTCCTGCAACTCAATTGACTCAACTCTGCACATATACAGCATGGCCAAGGTTTTCGACGCGGCTGAAGGTATGAACAGCGCCGATTGGAGCTTAACAATGTTTACAGAAGGCGCAATAACTGACATACTCGCGATAGTGGCCAAACACAACACCCCGGAGAGTTGCTGGGTCATTCTCTATGGCAAAGTCTACGACGTGACTGAGTTTCTTCCATCGCACCCCGGTGGTAAGAAGATCATCCTGAAGCTCGCGGGGAAGGATGCCACCGATGAATATGATCCCGTTCACCCACCGGGAACCCTCGAGGAGAACCTCAAGCCCGAGAATATCCTCGGTGAAGTGAATCCCGAAACACTCACTGACTCCCAATCGACCGGCGAAAACGCCACCACACAGTCCCGAGATAACCAGTCGCCACCAATGGCATCACTCATGAATCTTGATGAGATCGAGGAGGAGGCTACCAAGCGCATTTCGAAAAAGGCTTGGGCATATTACTTCTCAGCCGCCGACGATCTATTTTCAAAAACATACAATAACCATGTCTATAAAAATATACTTCTTAGGCCGCGCGTATTTGTTGATTGTACAGCTTGCGATCTTTCAACCACATTGATTGGCAACAGAGTCGGGCTACCAATATTTGTCGCCCCTGCTGCTATGGCCCGCCTGGCTCATCCCGATGGAGAGCAAGGCATCGCCAAGGCATGCTCTCGATTCGGGGCCATGCAGATTGTGTCGAACAATGCGTCGATGACTCCTGAGCAAATCATCGAGGGCGCAAAGCCAGGCCAGACCTTTGGTTGGCAACTCTACGTCCAGAACCAGCGGGAGAAAAGCGAGGCGATGCTCAAGCGCATCAACTCTATGCGAGAGTACTACAAATTTATCTGCCTGACCCTTGATGCGCCTGTTCCTGGTAAACGCGAGCTGGATGAGAAGCAAAACTTTGACTACTCTGAACCCAGCCCTGCCAGTGGTGAGAGCAAGCCCGGTGCTGGAGGTGTTGGTCAACAGCTGTTTTTTGGCACAGCGGCCGACTTGACTTGGAAGACAACTCTTCCCTGGCTAGCTGCTCACACAGATCTACCCATCGTTCTCAAGGGTCTGCAGACTCATGAGGATGCTTATCTCGCAGCAAAGTATGCTCCTCAAGTAAAGGCCATCATCTTATCGAACCATGGCGGTCGTGCTGTCGACACAGCCCCTCCCGCTATACACACACTTCTCGAAATCCGCAAATACTGCCCTGAGGTTCTGAGCAAGGTCCAGATATGGGTTGATGGAGGCATCAAGCGAGGAACAGATGTTGTAAAAGCATTGTGTCTGGGAGCCAGCGGAGTCGGTATTGGACGAGGTGCTCTTTTTGGACTTGGCGCTGGTGGCCAAGCCGGCGTCGAGAGAACACTCGAGAGTAAGCTGAGCCTGTGATTTTGAGAATGCCCGAACCCCGGCTAACACATGCAAAATAGTCCTCGAGGCAGAGACAGCAACATGTATGCGATTACTCGGAGCCAAGAATATCTCGGAGCTCGGTCCTAAATTCGTAAGATTTCCCCATCTTTTCCCCAGATTCCATTCCCCATGGTTGGCGATCTCGACTAACTCGCTTGGCAGGTCAATGCTCGACAGGTGGAACGAGATATTTACGATGGAGATTCAGGGCTGGACCGTCAAGGCTTGTGGACAAAGTCTAAGCTGTAAAGTATGAAGCAACCGCAGACGATATCTTCATATGCCAGATGCAGCCTCGGCTTGGATACTGGATTTCCTTTAGTCTCCACTGCAATTACCAGGGAGCCCTGCTTCCCTCATCGAAGCGGCAACAGCGGGAGCTCTCCGGGAAGACGGCTCTGGTAATGTGGTGGGCTGGCCAACACCGTTGCCTCTGGGTGACATCGCGGACTAGGGAAAAGTGAGGCATCAGAATCTCTCGAATGGAATCTCTCAAAACTTTTCCACAGTACTAATACATTTCGAAAGCATCATTCTAAATGACGGGTTTCAGTAAGAAACTGGGATGTTTCCACTGCCAGTAGATATTTTACAATAGTGGTTCAAGATAAAAATGCTTAAGTTTTGATTTCACTATCTATCCTGATGAACCTTGCAGGGGGGGTGGTGCTCCGTTTCGGAGGTAAAAGCAATAAGATCTGAAAGCTAAAACTGAGTAATGGAGGGGGAATGAGGAGAATGATACGATACTGTACAAAGGGCTGGCCGTGTTTGTTAGCTGTGCCGAGGAGGCATCATGCGGCGCAGTTGGAATTGGTTTCAAGGGTTCCTGGCGATGCGTCAACGCATGAGTATCGAACCAGAGTTTGTTAGGTGTTTGGGGAAGAACATAGCATGGGGGAAAACGCAATTCTCTGCAGAGACAAGTACCGATCAGTTCTCTGCTGATCAATTCATCTTGCGCTGCAGTCATGGCGGAAATAACAAATACATAGATTCCACGAAAGGCAAACCAGAGGTAATTTGTGGCGACAATGCAGGGACAAGGGCCATCAAATCAAATCACACCCTTGACTTAGAAAACTTGGAAACCAACCATACCATGAGAGGATGCCCGGCCGAGATGGTGTGTCACAGCCGGCCCTTCCAGAGGGCACATGGATAACTGAGCTGAACCCCTCTGCGCCGCTTGCTTCTCTTGGAGCCACTCCGAAGCTCAGGTGCCGCTTTCTAACGTGGCATGTGTCATTCATGCCAATCAGAATAAATTGGTTAGTTGTCATGACAAGCCACTGAACAACTTTAAATATTTGGTGCAATGAAGGACGAGGGGTGTTACGACCCATCAACGATATGACAGAGAATCCCAACTGTCAATGATGAAGAATTTCCGTTGGACCAACGTTCCAACTTCTGTTCGACCAGTTGGGCTTAGTCTGCTTGCTGCTTGATGTTGATCGTCGAATTGCGAAGGGAGAGCACAGGCTTCTTGTCTCGTGATTCGTCGGTTTTAATTAGCAACCCTCAATTCTATGCCTGTCGCGTGCAAAGTCCTCTTCTTTTCGTTCGGCACATTCTTTTCGTAGGTGTTCTTTTTTGACTTTATGAGCTCATCTTTCAGTTGGCAGCAGAGCAAGAAAAAGACGACTGTGATTGATGACTCCTCAACGTCAACGACTTCTGCCATGTAAATCCTTAATCAATTAGGGACGGCTCTGCAAGACTTGTTAATCAAAAGTATTGTATGTAGACCTTGCCACCAGACGGTTCAAAAAAGCAGTGTGTAAAGCGGCGGCAGGGTTCAAGGAGGCTTCGATTTTTATCCAATGTGTTGTGTCATGTGCCATGTCATATCGGCCCAGTTTATGCCCATGCTTTGCCCTCAATCTGAGGGGTCCTTTCACAAACAAGCTTTGTTAAGCTATGGAAAGAGAGCAAGGTTGTTGTCTGGATCCGCGATCCTGCGTGTATGTATGCAGCAAGAGATGGAGGGCGTGCCGGGCATCGTCCGGGCTAACCAGCGCGGTTTGGCGACGTCGGACAATAGACATAGAGGCCCCATATACATGTGGTGCTTCCAGGAGATTCACAAGCTGCCGAGGAACAAAGGATATAATGGACTAGGAGCCTACGAAGAAGGAGGGTTTGACCAGGGTCTTTTCATCGAAGGAAGCATTTCCTCTCCACCCCCAACCCATGCGGGGCAAACCTGGGGAATAGCGCCGTGTCGCTCATCGGACACTTGCCTCATTGGGCAGGCAATGCCCGGGTACAGATGCAAAGGGACTCGGATCATGGCGATCTAGTCCCGCCAAGGTTGAAGGCTGCATAGAATTATTTGTGGGTGTCGTTACTTCCGTTCTTGTTTCGCCGCAAGGTTTGCAGATTGCCAGTTCGACCGAGTAGGTACCTACTCCAACCCTGGTGGAAATACTTAAATTCAGCCATTGTTCCCTTTTGATCGCTCTTTTGGTGTATGTTGAAGATTGGCTTGTTCTTCTTCACTTCCACGACGTCGGACCTGTCCTGTCTTGTTACAAAACCCCTTTCACACCCCTAATTATCATTCCTTTTTCTATTATCAGGCCAACATGTCGGAAAAGAACGAGGTCACCCAGACCGAGAATGGGACTGTCCCCAGGTCCAAGAAGCGAACTTGCGCCAGACACTGCAAACGCTTCTGGTGGGTTTATCTCATCATTCTCTGTGTCATTGTTGTCATCGTGGTTCCCGTGATGTAAGTTGCAAGCCGCTGTTCCTTCAAGTGTCAATTGCAGAACTGACTTTACCCCCTCAGAATTCTTGTCGCTGTCCCGAAGATTGCACAAAGTAAGATCAACGAAGCCAAGTTGGAAATCCAATCCGTTCGAATCCTTGACACCGAGAGTGACGCCTATCTCATGGAAATCGATTCTTCTATCACAACCGATGGCAAGATCCATGCCAAGGTTGACCCCTTCGAGGCTGATATGTATCTCGAGGATTGGCCAGCACACGTAGCGTTTGCTACCGTGAAGATGCCAGAGACCAACAGCAACAAACACCAGGTCGTCAACGTCAGCCAGCAGGTCACAATCACCGACATGGAGGAGTTCACCCGTTTCAACGTCTGGTTCCACAACAATGAGACAGTCCGTGTCACCGTGTACGGAAAGACGAAAGTGAAGCCAAGCGGTCTAACGCGCAAGTACGGCGTCACCTTCAAGAAGACATTGGAACTCAAGGGTCTTAACCATTTCGCTGGCACTGAAGTCAACAACGGCCACATCGGCTTTGGTAGTGGTAAAGATGGTCCCAACTTCAACGGCACTACCACGATTCCAAACGCTTCCGTATTCACACTAGACAATGTAAGTTATCACTCACAATCCATGCATTTTCCAGACTAATCATGAATTAAGGGCAACGTTACCTTCACAAATTTTGTTGGAGATGTCGAAGTCGGCACCCTGACGATTCCAAACTTGGTGCTCAAGCCTGGTGACAACGTCGTCAACATCACTGCCAGCATGAACCAGAGTATTATACTCAACGCCGTCCAGCAAGAGCCCTACTGCAAAACAGGCAAACTCCCCTTCAAGCTACTGGGCAAGTCGGTCGTCAACCATGGTGAAAACCTTACCTATTTTGCCGCAGCATTGGCGAGTTCAAATCAAACAGTCGAAATCGACATTGGTGCCATTTTGAAGAAGGACCTCGACTATGAGGTCAAGTGCGAGAGCAAGAGTGATTAATTGTAGTATTCATTGGTATTTGGGCTGTATGCCATGTGTGCATGGAAGCAACGAAGGGTCATGAATTATGCAACTCTGGTGGCGGTGGATGATGTAGGACGTCGGCTCGATTAATGTAAAGCTACCAGGAGGTGGTGGTTTGGCCAAAGGCGCGGGCGGTTATAATGATACCTTTGATTAGAGTCATCTAGTATCCAGCAGGTCTCTGAATGAAACTTCCGACTCTCCATCTTGTGAGTGTGATCCTGGTCATGTTCCTCGGTAGAGAGCTATCTCTGCGATCATATGCTGCAACCTAGCGCCTTCATCCTTAGTTCCAACTAGTTTTCCGTTTTTCGCCTCTTAAAGGCTCACTTCTCGCTGTTGCATCCTGGCCTGCCAATGATGACGATGGGACGAATTCAACGGTCGTCCTGGTACCAGTGGTCTTCTCTGCTTCTCTCTCCTTCAGCAATTTGTCGTGGCTCTTCCGTAGCTTCTCCTTGAACGCCCATTCTGGAAACGCTGCAGGATTCCACAAATCTGTAGCTAATGTAGTTGAATACTGACTGTGCTCATCAACTTCGACAAATCTCATCAGTTTATCCATCAAACTGGGATTTTTGAGTGCAATTGATTGCTCCAGTTTTGCATTGAAGTGTGTTCCCTTCTTCTTGAGCTCAAGGAATTTCTCAAATTTCTCGTTTGTGCCGGGCGGTGGTGATCCTGGGGGCGATGGTGGAATATTTAGGTTAGGTGCTGATGGTAACGTCAGGTCACGAAGAAGAGCACGATTGCTAGAGTATGGTGAAGCAGGTCTAGATGCTGGATCTTGATCATTCACAACAGCTCCTTCCATGGGTGGTAGGAAAGGTCCCAAGGGCGCAGCATTTTGTTGAATTGGTGCGATGGGAACATCTTCCAGACTCTTATACTCAGAAGCTACATAGTTGCAAGGTCAGAGATGTCTTGAAACAGAAGCAGGCATATGGAGAGTACGAATGAGGAGGTCCTTCCTTACCCGATGTATTGGTTTTCTCCGTTACTTCTCGATCTTGCTGTTTGTTATCTGTAGTGTTCACTCTTTGCTGGTGATAATTAGACAAAGCCGTTGCTATGTGGTGGTGAATAGTCATGGGATATTTCTTACCTTATTCTGAGATAGAGAAGATTCCACCTCTTGTATTTCTTCCTCGTCATCGCTACTTGCATATTCAACGAGGCCGGCCATACTGTCACCTTGAACTTTGAGATGTTGGAGATGAGACTGACAATCAATCAACATGAAACCGAGGTAGGTTGATCAAGAATCCGTTTGGGACTAGCGTGGCTCATCTATGTGGGTCTTTTGGTGGAAAAAGCCCGGATAATGAACCCCAGACTTTCAACCCATCAGCCTTCCAAGAAGCTAAAGTTTCATTCTCACATCAACACAACGGCCTTCCCTATATCCATCCGGAGACAAACTGCGACACCTAATTTCGGACAACGCGCTTGAGAGAAGCTTACGGGCGTGTGTAAAGTTGCGCCGCGAATATACGATCACGCGCTTGTGGCGCATTGCCTAGGCTTCGGTCTTCCGTTTCAAAGTACTACTCACCAACGAAGTGTCCTGCTGAGCCTGCGAGACCACCAATAATGGCTCGGCCGAGAGACTCGCGCTCACCAAGTCCTGCAGGCAGCACCCACAGTTCTCGCCGTCGCCGCAATGATGATCGTCGAGCTAGGGATCGGCGCAACGATGGACGGGACCATCGGCGACGTAGCAGATCACGCAGTCCAGATGTGAGAAGGCAACCATCTAACTATGACCGGTTTTATTCTGACGATTTTATCCATGAACAGCCCAGAAACCGCGACCGCGAAAGAGATCGAGACCATGGGCGAGATCGAGATTATTATCGACGGAGAGACCGCTCTATAGACCTGCGCGACGACAATTATTACCGGGGTGGACGACGAGACCATCGCGAAAGAGATCGGAGGAGATCCCGAGAACGCTACGATGGTCGCAATCGATCACCAGATAGGCGACATAACCACAGCAGAGAAGGTGATCGGGATGTGAGAAGGCGAGACGACTCCCGCAACCGCACCCCTGGGCGCCGTGAGGGTACGGCTGACTCCCTTACTCGCAGCATTCGTGAAGACGGCAGAACACAGAAGATCTCACTTGGCGGCAGTGGGAAACCTGATACTGAGGAGGTTCGATCGCAGTCTCCCTTTCATGAAAGTATTGCTAATGGATATCGATTGCAGACTCCCAAGGCAGATTCCGGACAGCCGGAGGTCGACAAGAAGGCTGAAAGATTAGCCAAACTTGAAGCATGGAAGAAGAAGAAAGAGAATGCCAGCCAGAAACAAAAAGAAGTAAATCCAAGCCAGACAAGGAACCTCTTGGCTGAAATGGACAAGAAAGCGAGTGGGACGTCCTCAAAAACAGTCTCTCCATCAGTTTCTGCAACTGCTTCGCCGGCTGCAACACCGACTGTTGCTTCACCTGTCGTCCCATACTCTGGCAAGTTTGACCCTAAGGCCATCGCAAAGAAGTCGGCAGCTTCCCGGGCACACGAAGGCGTAAAACCAGCCTTGGGCTCTCTGGGGGGGCAGCCCGAAAAGCTCCCGGTCCCTGCTAAGCCCTCAGTGCCTCTAAAACCGTCTATCAGCGGTAGGTTCTCATCCTCGGTTCTCCGCTCAAGCTCAGTTGACCAACCTATCTTAGCATCAGCTCTCCCTGCGAATCGAACAAAAGCTAGTGGGTTTGGATTCGTGAAGAATAACGCAGAAACTGACAAGCTCCCCGCCAAACGGAAGCTTGATTTGGATGAAGAAGACACTACTAAACGAAAACTTACTAAACTTCCTGCCCTGCCCATCGAAGCTGATGACACTCCATATGCCGATCAAGATGATGATGAATCTGATGGGGACAACTTCGCGGAGACTGAAGAGGAGGCCGCCGCCGCCGCCCGTGCAGCTCACGAGAGACGGTTGCAAGCAGAGAATCAAATGGATACGGGCGAGGAAGAGTCAAAGACGACCGAAACCCAGATCAATGGAGATACCATGTCAAACAACACCGCTGAACCCGACACCACCATACATATGGAAGTTGACGAGGAGGAGGATGACGTTGATCCACTGGATGCATTCATGGCTGATCTCAGGCAGACAGACGTGAAACAGCCGGCTAGGACATCCAAAGCGCAAAAGATCCAGGAGCCGGAGGCTTACTTCAGCGATGATGAATATGATTTCAATAAGAAGGACACGGGTGACGCAAACGCCTTACTAGCTATGGCTGCGAAGCGAAAGAAGAAAGACATTCCAGTGATTGATTACAGCAAGATCGAAATTGAACCTATTCGCAAAAACTTCTGGGTCGAGCCTGCTGAACTCAGCCAACTCACAGAGGCCGAGGTAGCTGATCTTCGCCTGGAACTTGACGGCATCAAGGTCAACGGAAAGGATGTTCCCAAGCCTGTTCAGAAATGGGCGCAATGTGGTCTGACGCGACAAACACTCGACGTCATTGATAACTTGGGCTTTGAGAAACCTACCCCCATCCAGATGCAGGCTCTTCCTGCTCTCATGTCAGGCCGCGATGTCATCGGCGTGGCTAAGACTGGTTCGGGAAAGACAATGGCTTTCTTGCTTCCCATGTTCCGGCACATTAAGGACCAGCCTCCACTGAAAGATACAGATGGTCCTATCGGATTGATCATGACTCCAACACGAGAACTTGCCGTCCAGATTCATCGAGACTGTAAACCTTTTCTCAAGATGATGGGTCTTCGATCTGTCTGTGCTTACGGTGGAGCGCCCATCCGAGATCAGATTGCTGAACTCAAACGTGGCGCGGAGATCATTGTGTGTACACCTGGTCGAATGATCGATCTTCTAGCTGCGAACCAAGGGCGGGTCACTAATCTCAAGCGAGTCACATATGTTGTTCTTGATGAAGCCGATCGAATGTTCGATATGGGCTTCGAGCCTCAGGTCATGAAGATCTTCGCAAATATGCGACCTGACAGGCAGACTATCCTCTTCTCGGCTACGATGCCTCGCATCATCGACTCGCTGACCAAGAAGGTACTCAATAATCCTATCGAAGTTACAGTGGGCGGTCGTAGTGTTGTGGCAAAGGAGATTGATCAGATCGTTGAAGTTCGAGATGAGCCATCCAAGTTCCTGCGTGTTCTCGAACTGCTTGGAGAGCTCTATGACCGTGATGAAGATGCCCGCACCCTCATTTTCGTGGAACGTCAAGAAAAGGCCGACGATTTATTGAAAGAGCTTATGATCAAGGGTTACCCCTGCATGTCCATTCATGGAGGTAAAGATCAGATTGATCGTGATTCTACCATCTCAGACTTCAAGAAGGGTGTAGTGCCTATCTTGATCGCTACTTCGGTGGCAGCTCGTGGTCTTGATGTCAAGCAACTCAAGCTCGTTATTAACTACGACGCACCGAACCACTTGGAGGATTATGTTCATCGTGCTGGCCGAACTGGTCGTGCTGGCAATACCGGTGTCGCTGTCACATTCGTCACACCAGAGCAGGAGAACTGCTCTGTTGGCATTGCCAAGGCTCTTGAACAGAGTGGGCAGCCAGTGCCAGAAAGGCTGGACGAGATGAGGAAAGCTCACCGTGAAAAGGTCAAATCTGGCAAGGCCAAAGATACTTCTGGCTTTGGCGGCAAGGGTCTCGATCGTCTTGATCAGGAACGAGAGGCTGCCCGTCTCCGCGAGCGCAAGACCCACAAGGCCGAGGGCGAGGAGGAGGAGGTCAAAGAAGATAAGAAGGAAGAGGAGGACGACAAGGCAGAGAAGGCTCTCAGTGCAATCCGCGCAGCAGCATCAGGCGTTCAAGCCCGCGAGTCAGCAAAGGCTGATGGCACAGAAGTCAAGCCTACTCAACAGGCAACCATTACTGGTGGAGTGAAAGACAAGTCCAAAGACCCGCTTGACAAGGTCAGTTCAGCCGTGTCCGCCATCAACAGCCGCCTCGGAAAGGCTGGCCAACTTCGTGCTGGTCAGCCCATCGACAACAAGGGCCCAGACGCTGGTGCGTTCCATGCCACATTGGAAATCAACGATTTCCCTCAAAAGGCCAGATGGGCTGTCACCAACCGAACCAATGTCGCCAAGATCCTGGAAGCTACAGGCACATCGATCACAACAAAGGGCAACTTTTACCCACCAGGCAAAGAGGTTCCCGCAGGAGCCGAACCAAAACTGTATATTCTCATCGAAGGCGATACGGAGGTTGTTGTTGGATCCGCTCTCAGCGAACTCACACGCCTATTAAGAGAAGGAACAATAGCTGCTGCAGATGCTGACAGTCGAGCACCAGCTAGTGGACGATATACAATTACCTAGCCATATGAGGTCTTTCGCTGGAAGAATGTCAGCCCGCTGCCTTCACTACACTTGCATGGGCTGGCTCGCTGATGGACGGCGTTGCAGAGGCTACGTGGAGGTTTGAAGGAGAAGAAAAGGTATACAAATAGGAGTTAATCATGGCGTCGCATGCCTACTTCGGTGGAAAGCCCTAGGGGAATATTGGTTAACGCTGAGTCCACCGAGTTTTTGAACTGTAACGTTTTCGAAATAAAACATCTATAATATGGAGAATACTCTGAAATAAGATTCCAACTGAACATGGACGAAAATCTTGGAACTGCTAGACGCTATTGAATGATCACAATGTGTAGAGGCTGCCTTCCAATCCGCATTGTCGTGAACCAGCTACTCTGCGCCATCTTCTGACCTGTATGCTCTTGAGAAGTCAACACTGAATCATCATGCCCAATTTCGTGCTTCAGCTGCTTGATCGGCCTCACGCGCTCGCAGTTGCTCTTGACTAGCGTCATTGAGGGTTTCTGAACGTGTCTGTTTCTTCTGTGCTGCTAGTTGGGTCTGCAACTTTCCACCTGGCTTTGAGGATGCTTTTGCGCGCGCCTGCAATGCCCCGTCAGTCAAGATAACAAGAATAACATCATGACAGTCACGCGGCAGGGGGCGATCTCACCTCTGCAGCTTCCGCGGCTTTCCTCCGGGCGTCATCCGTATCTCCTGAAGCTTCCGCAGCTGAGCCGCTTCCCAAAGTCCTTGGCGGGCCTCCGACCTTTGTCGGAACCGGCGCTGTGCCAGCGGCTGGAGCGGGAGCGGAACCCAAGACTCTGCCGGGTTGCGAAAAAGCCTCTGGCTCTGTCTTTCCGCAGATGTTGCCCATGGCTGCTAATGGTATGGTGCGGTGAATTTAATGTTTTCTGTTTTCTATTGGGCTACAACACAGTGAACAATGCAAATAAAAGACTAGCCGTGTGCTGGGATTGCCAGATTGAAGTTTGATGAATTGGATTAGAGTGTTGTGTCTCAGCGAGAGACGTGAGGCTGGAGTTTCTTTATGCCAAGATCCGAGGTCAGGAGGGGTTTCCATATAGGGAAACAGGGGAGGAAGCGTTAAGCTTTGATTGCAATACCCCCAATCGAGTGTCGGTAAATTTCAGTGTATAAAGATATCTGGTGGTGCTCACTCAGTCGTGGTGAAGTCAGTTACTCCTTGTCGTCAACTCTGCGGTCATAAGAACCGGCAAAGGATAATCGTGATGGGTTGAGGGATGGAGCGCTGCGCCTCAGGGACATGTGAGCAACGTCGAGGTAAGGCGGGAGATGCAAGCATTAGCTGTGAGGCCTACTAACTCAAAGGAACACTCTCAGAACCACACCTCGAGCACTATGTAATAGCCTAAGATAAGTCTTTAGCTTATTCTCTGATTAGGTACGCACTATTGGTCTTGCTGCGTAGTGCGAGTCGCAACCGCAGGCAAATGCAATTATCTCAATTTCATCGACTACATGTTTTTGACAGATAATGATGGCTATCACATTGGGTTTCAAGTGGTTTGCATCGGTATATCTCTGTCTAAGGTCTTCATACCCAAGTTTGAGTGACGGAGAGCATAACGGAGTCAAGTGGGTCTATGTCTGCCGCACCCGGAGCGGGGAGTTGCGTTACTGGGAAGAGTAGACGGAGGTCCAATCGGTCATTCGTAAAGGCAAGTTCTGTAGTTGCTCGCAGCCTAGGTAGGTAGGCACTACATATGAGTATCAACTACACCCATATATGATTGTATCTCAAATTCTCAAGTGGCTACACACTACGTATATTAATTTGAAGCCTACGCATACAGTGCAATGTAGACGCCGGCCAATTTGCACCAGCCTCAACAAGTTTTACGTGATGTTCAGTCTGTAAATTTCAACGTATGTCTGAGTGGCCGGTGTTGCTGTCAATAGATAAGGTGGCATATATGGCAGATAATACAACAAAATACACAAGCATAGGGTAACTGTCCTGAAAACTTAAGTTTATCGTTACAACTTTCTGTTCAATCAACACATGCGGCTCATGTGGTACTATGCTAGTTGGTATAACAATAAAGTCTCTATTCCCAATATAGCTACTAATTGTTGGTGGAAAATCGTATGGCTTGGGTATGACTATGTTAACGGGCATAGACGTGCCTGAACACAAGCCAACTGAGGAATCGAAACAAATGGTCACAATGGCCATAACAGTCAACAATCATCAACAATCGACAAACCAACTGCAAGAGAGGCGTAGCAACAAAGGCAAGACTAGGGCCCAGCCATCCAGGGATATCATCCGCTGCAAGTCACCGAGCCAGTTGTATGGGCCATATCGTCAGTGCTCTAGTCGGAAAGGTTACCGAGAAACATGCTGGAGCAATGAAGTGGATTAACTGCACATAAAGTACTGTACAGAACCTACGATATTGCATCGATGCAGAAATTGGTATATCATAGTCATTGGCCATATCCATGCATGCAGGCGATCAAGGGACATGAACCCCACGCGGAAGATGCAGTGATTGACTCGACTTTGAGGCATTGGACCAGCTCGGCTATGGATATTTAACAAATAAAGGATAAACACTGACTGAGGTTGGCATCCCTTGTCCTCAAACCCACGCATTTCACCAGCTCAACTTTGGAGACTTATCTTCCTGCTAACAGGACTGGCTGTCTACGGATAAAGTAGGGTTGGAAGAAATCGTCAGCCTTTCGCTTGCTAACATATCCCCTCAGCTACATTAATACTTTCTTAGTGTTTAGAAATATTCGTTAGCTCAGGAAAGATAGAAGCGAACGAATGCCTACTGCCTTTGCGACCTGGTAGGTACTCAGCAACCATTAGTACCTAGATTGCTCTTGTCTTACTCTCCCAATCCCTCCACCCTCATTGGCTGAGCATAATCGTTCCAGGAAGCTGGTCCCACTTAAACGCACCATGATCCACTGGAGTTCACAAAGTGCCTTAGTGTCATACCCTGCCCCTCCACCTTCAACCCTTTGAGCCGCTGGCCATCCGGGTTCTCACTCATCGATTCTCTTGGGCCGTTCGCAACATCCCACTAGGGCCTCCCAGGCCTTCGCATTATCCTACTAATGCCGTCGATGAGCAACTCAACCATAAAATTAACTCAGAAACATCCGCGCGCGAAAGGATAAAAGAAGAGAGAAGCAATCGCCGTTATCAAACCGAGCGATTGCTGCTGTGATTCCATATATGCAATCATGGACCACTCAGCGCCTTTCGTTCATCATCACCAGCAGCAAAACCAGCCAACTTCTTTCGAATCCGAAAAAGTCGACTATGGCTTTGACAGTTTGCTCGGTCACGATACCTGCCTGACACATGGTCTCGATTCTCTCGGTACCTGCAACAACACTGAGAACGCTTGTCTCGACCAACGCTGTTTTGACCACTATGGTAAAACTGCTGCCACCAAGAACGCTCTTGACATCGGCCTCGATCTTAAGAACGGCACTGATACGGTCTCCCAGCGACATGACCAGGCCAACAACGCCCGTTCCACGAGGGCAAAAAGCCGTACCCAATCAAGCATATCCAGTTCTCCTGCAAGAACATTGTCCACTGCGGCAATGAGAGTCTCAGCGCACCGACAAAAGCGAAGGAGACAGTCTGAGCAGACGCATCAATATCATAACCAACTGGAATACCAGCAGTCGTCGCATGTGCATCAAATGCACTCTCCTCATAGCATTCAACAAGATCAGAATCTCCAGCATATCGACCCCACAGCCGTTCTTCAGACCGTCAACGAGAATTTGCAGCACAACTTCAACATGCCACTATTAGACAGCCAACATACATCGTTTGGAGAATTCCAACACCATAACCATGCGTTTTCAATGCCCAGTCTCTATGATCGCTGGCCCCAAGCCGTTGCTCCCTCCTGGGCCAACATGATGGGACAGGCCAACGTCGCTCATTGCATGCCGATGTCGTGGACACCACATATGGGATGCAACAACGCCACCTCTGTTGACTGCACTTCTGCATGCGGCGACGCCAAATGTTGGAGTCAGTGTGGCGATGGAGATCATGCGGACTGTTGCTTCGATGCTTCTTGTGACGAGTTTGACTTCTCCCATGCTGCTTGTTGCTTCGAACCCACTTGTGCTGCCCTTGAGCCATGCCTTGACGCCTCTTGTCAGGAGGCCGCAATCCCCTGCAACGATTCGCATTGCGTGAGCACCACCGTTTCCACCACTCCGGCATCTGTGTCTGTTACAACACCCTCGGCAGAGCCTGAACCCGTGGTCAATACATTAATGAGCCCAGTCGAACCAGGCCAGGGTGTTCCTCTGGATATTGACTCCGCGATCGGTCATGACTTTGGCGATTTCTCTCATGAAATCGGACCTAGTTTTACTGATGATCTCAACCAACACGTCGGGAACCTTGCGAGCCGTCCCAGTGGCCCAGGGCTGAGCCACAATGGCACCTTTTCTATGCCTTCACAATCCCCCACACCGAAAACCGAGTTGGCGGAGAAGCAAGCCATAAAAGGAGAAGCCGATTTCACCTGCCAATGGCTATGTGAGGGAGATGGTGTCCTCTGTTCCAAACGGTTCGGAAGTAATAAAGAACTCCAGGACCACTGCAAGAATGAGCATGTCAAGACTCTGCAGAAGGGTGAAAATGGGTTTTGCTGCACATGGTACGCTTGTATAAGACCCGGTCCATTCTCGCAAAAGAGCAAACTGGAACGACATATGCAGACGCATACCGGATGTGAGTTGTACCATATGATTAAATATCAGGTTCCATGTTGTAGAACGTACTAATTTGTCTGACAGACAAACCAGTCAAATGCGAGATTTGCGGCGTAATGCTTTCAGCAAAGCAATCCCTGGAGCAGCACATGCGTACTCACTCGGGAGAGAAACCATGGAAGTGCATACAACCGGGGTGTGAGGCGCGTTTCAAGCAGCAGAGTGCTCTTAGTAAATATGTCGACTCCTGACTCAATACCAAATGCTAA